TTTAAAATATCCTGTTCTCTTTAGAAATCTCTATGTATTATATTTTGAATATTTTTATTAGAATTCTGCACTTTGGCGGTCCAAGAAGACATTTTTAAAATAAAAGATTTGTGCACGAAAACTCACATGTTTAGCATTATCAGAATCCACAAGACACCCAGCTTACCCTCAAACCAACTGTATTTTAGTATTTCGTGATTTTCTAGAATAGGTTAAAATGTTTTCCATTGTCTGCTAAAGTATTAGTTTAGGATAACACCCTGTTAATATCATATGAAAATTGTCTTCCCTTACATTAGTTGTTATCAAATTAAAATTTTGTTACGGAATGTTTTACTGTTTTTCGCACTTCCGCACATTAACGAAATAAGTTTTAAACTTAAAATTATTTTAACACCGAAAATATACGAAATTTCAAAAAAAGTAAAAACACATAGATATGAATAAAAAACATGTAAAAGTGACACTTTAGGAATGTCAAAAGGGAATTATGTCATTAAAATGTTCGCCGTTTGACTTAGGCACTTCGCAAATGCCACCATTTCCACAAAACAAACAGAACGTAGAGTTTTGTGCTTCACCGACGAATGGATTATTAAAGCTCGACAATGAAAATGGGATTTCAGGTACACACATTTACAATTCCACCCAACGATTTTGATTTCAAATGCAAATTGAAGACACTTCCCTTCGATTCGAGCGAGGAAAGCAACATAACAACAACAATAATTTTCATGTTTACATGAAACGAACTTGCATATCCCACAAACGTCAATCGAGTCCCAAAGACGAGCGCGATTTTTATTTCCGTTTAAGAAACAGAGGCCTAAGCAAACAAATGAAGCATTCACCAGTCGTCACAATAAGTTTGCGGTTGCAGCAAAGCTGCAACGAAACAAAAAGAAAAACAACAACAAGGAATGACAACATTACTTACTTTTCGCCGCAGTAGAACAAATTTGTCATTGCAAATGAAAGAGGAGTGAAAACAACGAACTACAAGCGACACAGCTTCTGCATTGAGGCCACCAGCGGTTTGTGAGCAGTGATATACAACAGCAACAAAAACACGCACAGCGATTGCAATTAGAACAGCGGAAAAAATAAATCAACAACATGAACATGAAAACACCGTTAGCACTGACTTCATAAAAAAACCCACTTTTCTCATACACACACACAGAAATGCATTGACAGCATCGCCAGCATTGACATACATACGAGTACATTCACATACGGACCTTTTTTGGCACACTCAAAACTGTGTGTCCCAAATGTCGCGATACACTCGCATTTGTTCGCCTGAATTCGTTTTTGATGTATGATTATATGCGTAGAGTTTTTTGTTGTGTGGCATTGCGGCAGTCGCAAACAAGCCAATACAAAAATAAAAGCAAAATTTTGAAACAACTAATAAAAAAATAAAACTAGTAAGGAAAGAATAATTTCGGGTTTCACCAAACATTTTATACTCTTGTAATTCGCAAATTAAACAACCTTTTAGATTGACCAACATATAACGCATAAAGTCAATCGCATGTCGAGCTTGCCATCATCAAAAAAATATTCTCTTGGAATTTCAATACTACACCTCACAGATTGAGTGACATGTTCGGTTAAAAATTTACCATATGCACGGGGTCCACATATTTGCTGTCTGTATCTCCTGAAATATTATAGTCCGCTTTCCGAAATGTTTGAGCGTAAGATGAAATAGGCGTAAGCGTGATTGTCACCCGATTTAAAAATATTTAATTTATTAAAAGAGTTTGTCAAATATAACTGCATCAAGTGTACATATAGTAGTAGTATTTGGGATGTAAAAGATCAAAATAGGTAGAAAACATTGTATAGTCAGCAGTTTCTTCCCTAAATCAGCCTTTACCTAAGCAGTTGAACTGCCTCAAAATTTTTAATAAAATATTAATTCTGGAACAACCTTTTTCTAGCAAAGTTATGCAAAATTTTA